AACCCAGCAGGAGAAGAGAAATAATTAAGATCAGAGCAGAAATCAATGAAATGGAAACCAAAAGAATAGTAGAACAAATCAACGAAACTAGGAGCTGGTTCTTTGAAAGAATTATAATAAGAGTGATAACCCCTGGCCAGACTTATCAAAAAGAAAAGAGAAAGGACCCAAATTAATAAAAGCAGGAATGAAAGAGGAGAGATCACAACCAACACCACAGAAATACAAACAATTATGAGAACATATTATGAGCAACTATATGCCAGCAAATTTGACCATCTGGGTGAAATGGTTGCATTCCTACAGACATGTAAGCTACCAAAACTGAACCAGGAAGAAATAGAAAACCTAAAAAGACCCATAACCAGTAAGAAGATCGAAGCAGTCATCAAAAATCTCCCAACAAACAAGAGCCCAGGGCCAGATGGTTTCCCAGGGAAATTCTACCAAACATTTAAAGAAGAATTAATATCTATTCTCCTGAAACTGTTCCAAAAAGTAGAAATGGAAGGAGAACTTCCAAACTCATTTTATGAGGCCAGCATTACCTTGATCCCCAAAACCAGACAAAGACCCCATCAAAAAGGAGAATTACAGACCAGTATCCTTGACAAACACAGATGCGAAAATTCTCACCAAAATAATAGCCAATAGGACCCAACAGTACATTAAAAGGATTATTCACCACGACCAAGTGGGATTTATTCCAGAGCTGCAAGGTTGTTTCAACATCCACAAATCAATCAATGGGATATAATACATTAATAAAGGAAAGAACAAGAACCATATGATACTCTCAATAGATGCTGAAAAAGGATTTGACAAAGTGCAGCATCCTTTCTTGATCAAAACTCTTCAAAGTGTAGGGATAGAGGGTACATACCTCAATATCATCAAAGTCATCTATGAAAAACCCACAGCGAATATCATTTTCAATGGAGAAAAACTGAGAGCTTTTCTGCTAAGGTCAGGAACACAGCAGGGCTGTCCACTATCTCCACTGCTATTCAACACAGTAGTAGAAGTCTTAGCCTTGGCAATCAGACAACAAAAAGAAATTAAAGACATCCAAATCAGCAAAGAAGTAGTCAAACTATCACTCTTTGCAGATGATATGACACCCCTTTTGGGTTTGGGAAAACCCAAAAGGCTCCACTCCAAATCTGATAGAACTTGTACAGGAATTCAGTAAAGTGTCAGGATATAAAATCAATGCACAGAAATCAGTTGCATCCCTATACACCAATAAGAGAGAAGAAAGAGGAATTAAGGAGTTGATCCTATTTACAATTGCACCCAAAACCATGAGATACCTAGGAATAAACCAAACCAAAGAGGCAAAGAATCTGTACTCAGAAAACTATAAAGTACTCATGAAAGAGACTGAGGAAGACACAAAGAAATGGAAAAATGTTCCATGCTCATGGATTGGAAGAATAAATATTGTGAAAATGCCCATGCCACCTAAAGCAATCTACATGTTTATTTTTTTAAACCCCGCCCCCGCAATCTACAGGTTTAATGCAATCCCTGTCAAAATACCATCAATTTTTTTCAAAGAAATGGAACAAATAATCCTAAAATTTATATGGAACCAGAAAAGACCCCGAAGAACCAGAGGAATGTTGAAAAAGAAAACCAAAGTTGGCAGCATCACAATTCCGGACTTCAAGCTCTATTACAAAGCTGTCATCATCAAGACAGCATGGTAGTGGCACTAAAACAGACACATAGATCAATGGAACAGAATAGAGAGCCCAGAAATGGACCCTCAACTCTATGGTCAACTAATCTTCAACAAAGCAGGAAAGAATGTCCAATGGAAAAAAGACAGTCTCTTCAACAAATGGTGCTGGGAAAATTGGACAGCCACATGCAGAAAAATGAAACTGGACCATTTCCTTACACCACACACAAAAATAGACTCAAAATGGATGAAAGACATCAATATGAGAAAGGAATCCACCGAAATCCTTGGGGAGAATACAGGCAGCAACCTCTTTGACCTCGGCCGCAGCAACTTCTTGCTATACACGTCTCCAAAGGCAAGGGAAACAAGAGCAAAAATGAACTATTGGGACTTCACCAAGATCAAAAGCTTTTGCACAGCAAAGGAAACAGTCAACAAAACCCAAAGACAACTGACAGAATGGGAGAAGATATTTGCAAATGACATATCAGATAAAGGGCTAATATCCAAAATCTATAAAGTACTTATCAAACTCAATACCCAAAGAACAAATAATCCAATCAAGAAATGGGCAGAAGACATGAACAGACATTTCTGCAAAGAAAGACATCCAGATGGCCAACAGACACATGAAAAAGTGCTCCACATCACTCGGCATCAAATCAAATACAAATACAAATCAAATCAACTACAATCAAATACAAATCAAAATCACAATGAGATACCACCTCACACCAGTCAGAATGGCTAAAATTAACAAGTCAAGAAACGATGGCTGCTGGCAAGGATGCAGAGAAAGGGGAATCCTCCTACACATTGGAGGGAATGAAAGTTGGTGCAACCACTCTGGAAAAGAGCATGGAGGTTCCTCAAAACAGAGCTACCCTATGATCAAGCAATCGCACTACTGGGTATTTACCCTAAAGATACAAATGTAGTGATCCAAAGGGGCATGTGCACCCGAATGTTTGTAGCAGCAATGTCCACAATAGCCCAACTATGGAAAAAACCTAGATGTCCATCAACAGATGAATGGATAAAGAAGATGTGGTATTATATACACAATGGAATACTATGCAGCCGTCAGAAGAAATGAAATCTTGCCATTTGCAATGATGTAGATGGAACTAGAGGGTATTATGCTGAGCGAAATAAGTCAATCAGAGAAAGATAATTATCATATGCTCTCCCTGATATGAGGAATTTGAGAGACAAAGTGGAGGGTTTGGGGGGTAGGAAAGGAAAAGATGAAACAAGATGGGATCGGGAGGGAGACAAGCCATAAGAGACTCTTACTCTCACAAAACAAACTGAGGGTTGCCAGGAGGAGGAGGGTAGGGAGAGGGTGGTGGGGTTGTGGACATTGGGGTGGGTATGTGCTACGGTGAGTGCTGTGAAGTGTGTGGGCCTGACGATTCACAGACCTGTACCCATGGGGCAAATAATACATTATATGTTAATTTTTTAAAAATACAGTTATGGTGGGGCACCTGGGTGGCTCAGTCAGTTAGGCAGCAGACTCCTGTTTCAGCTCAGGTCATGATCTCAGGGTCCTGGGATGGAGTCCCACATCAGGCCCCCTGCTCAGTGGGGAGCCTGGTTCTCCCTCTGCCCTTCCCCCCTGTTCATGCTCTCTCTCTCTCTTGCTCTTTCTCCAATAAAGAGATAAATTCTTTTCTAAAATGTGGTTCACAAATATGTATATGTATTTATGTATATACACTATATGGTAGAACGTTATTCAGCCTTAAAAAGGGGAGGAAATTCTGTCACATACTGAACATAGAAAAATCTTGAGGACATCATGCTAAGTGATAGAAGCCAGTCACAAAAAGACAAATAGTGCCTTATTCCACTTATACTGAGTATCTAAAATAGTCAAATACATAAAGACAAAAGTTAACGGGTGGTTGCCAAGGGCTGAGGCAAACGGGAAATGGAGAGTTTTTGTTTAACGTGTACAGTGCTGGTTTTGCAAGATAAAAAGGTTCAAAATCGGTGTTGCACAACAGTGTGAATATGTTCAACATGACAGCACCGTACCCTTAAAGATGGTTAAGGTGGTAAAGTTTATGTTATGTGCTTCTACCCCCAAAAGAACACGTTTTAAGCCATGCAAAAGAAAAACAGATTTTCTCGGGTGAGTCCCAGCTTTGCAAACTACTGGCCCCAAGGGACCCTGTTCGGCTTCTGGAAAGAAGAGCAGCGTTCAACGGGGCTGTGAAAGACAGAGACGTCTTGGCTGGGCAAAGCGGTGGGGGGATGTTGTAAAGGAAGGAATTCCTTGAGAAACAGCATCACTATCACCAAAAACATTTATCATGATGCCTACTGTTTGCCTACGTGTTCTCTCACCTAATCCACACACCAGCGACTCTATGTGGGACAGGGGGCACTACCAGGGCCATTTTACAGAGGAGAAATCAGGTGGCAGTTTAGGGGGAGCGGGCGAGGGCACCAGTCTGCCTGCCCAAGGGGAATGGTACACGGAGAGATGACACAGAACGTCAGAGGCCTTGACACCAGGCAGAGACATCACATGAAGCCGTGGACATAGGGAGTCATTGTAGGTCCTGGAGCAGAAGTACGCGATTGGAGCAGAGTCTTCAGCAGGTGAATCTGGAAGCAGTGTGTGGCTGTGCCTTGCACTAGGTGGAAACCCAATGAGCGCCAAAGGAGTGACAAATGCGTAACAAGCAGATGAGCAAAGTTGGGGTGCGAGGTTGGGGTCAAGTGCCCCAGTCTCTATCTCCCCCGCCCCCAACACTTCGGGGGCCTCTCCTCTGGAATGACTCGTATCCCTGGGGCGGTGCGTCTCCAGGTACCTGCTCTGCTCTGGCAGTGCGGGACCAGATGGGACCAGGCGTGGGGGCACCTCCCATCCCTGCGTGCGCCCTCTGCTGGAGGCGCCTGGCCTGGCACGTGTATGCAGGCCAGTCTGGGCACCGAGCCTCTCCGGCTTTCATTTTTTATTAGAATGATGGGATGTCTTTTGAAGCCTCGATGATATTAACGACAGCCTAAGGTTTCAAAGAGGACAGTGTTCTTTGTCTCATTGGTCTCTGGCCTCCAAACACTTCACCTTCACCTCCCCTGCGGAAAGGATTGAGTTCTCAAGCATTCTGGACTCCCTCCCCCATCTGTGCTCAGCACTGAGCCTCAGCACCCCAGCTCATGCTCAGGGGGGGCCTAGCAGGCAGAACTCTGGAGCTCCTGGTGGGTGATGCTGGAGAATTCTAGAAATCGATCTAAAATTGAACACAGGGTGTAGGGACTTGCAGATTTGATCTGTTCTTCTTCTGGACGCAAGGCTCCTACCGCCACCATTGTTTCTCCAGATCCTTGGTCCAGCCAAAAAGCATCCAAGCTTGATCTCTCTCTTTGTATTTATTGGAGGGGAAAGTACTGGAGCAGTGGGCAGTGTCTTGCTCCTGGCCTTGTTCAATCCAGATGTCAGGATGAGAAAAATAACCCAGGACCCTGGAACACACTGGGTCCCCATGATCAATACGCTTTTCTTCTTAAGATTTTATTTATTTATTTGACAGAGAGAGAGAGAGAGATCACAAGCAGGCAGAGCAGCAGGTGTGGGGGGCGGGGAGCAGGCTCCCTACTGAGCAGGGAGCCCAGTGTGGATCTCAGGACCCTGAGATCATGACCTGAGCTGAAGGCAGAGGTTTAACCCACTGAGCCCCCTGGTGCCCCTGATCAGTACAAGTTTTCCTCGGTGAATGTACATTACAGCAAACTGCAGAAAGAAGGGCCAGACCTCTAAATGAAAGAGGGAGGGAGGTCGTGCCGAAGTCATCTGCATAATTTCCCTCTTTATCGAGGAAGGATTTCCTCTCTCAATGCATGAAATCATGTTGGTGTATTGTGTTGGGGTTTACACTGCCAAAAAAAAACCTCTGAAACTTGAAAAAACAAAAATAAAATTGGACACGGATGACCGTGATGACAATAGACTCCTGCCGCAGTAGAGAGAGGTAATAATGTCTACGGTGACAGGACTCTTCAAGAAGGACCTCAGCCACATAGAAGGAGCACTGTGATGGGCTCAAGCATGGGGCTGTGGGGTTTGCAAACCACCTTCAACAGCCGGCTCCTGGAACCCTGCCTACTGGGCCTTCCTGGCATCCACGCAGCTCTCTGCAGATTCCTGAGGCCATGGCTCCAAGCCCTGGCTAATATCCCCTCTGACTGCAAGAGTCCCCACTCTGCCATTCTAAGCCAATCAAGCAGTATTAAGTGAAGGAAGACAAGTGCATTTGAAAATCAGACTCACCCTTGGAGGGTCGAGTGTTCATTTCCAAATTAACCCAGGCTGGATTCAGGGGTTCCGGAGTTTCTGATTTGTTTCTCCTCTTTGGGGAATAAAACAAAACTCACGGAGATGGAAAAGGTGCCAGGAACCACGCTAAGCGCTTGACACACGTTTCTCTTTCTGTCTTCACAGTAACGCTTTCATGCCCATGAATAAAGGGAGACTGGAAAGTTCATAAAAGATCGGCCCAGTGTTTCCCAGCTGGAGGCCAGGATTCAGGTTCAGGTCTGTCTGATGCCTAAGTACCTAGCCTTGCCTCCTGTGTGCCCCCTCCGCCCATGCTGCGTTTAACAGCCACACCCATCCCAATCACCTCCTCCAGCAAGAACCCAGCCCCAGCCAGATTCTGTGTTGCTGCCTTTCCCACCTGCTCCGGGCTTCCGGCCAGCTGCCAGAGGACAGCTAGCGTCTGCTGGAGCCCTGGGAACATATGTGACTTGCCTATTTGCAGGTACAGGTACAGGCACAAACCCATCCTCCAGGGCATGAAACAGACATGGAAAACGTATGTTCGGGGCACCTGGGTGGCTCAGTCTGTGAAGTGTCGGACTCTTGGATTTCGGATCAGGACATGATCTCAGAGTCGTAAGTGTCGGGCTGCACACTGGGCATGGAGCCTGCTTAAGATTCTCTCCCTCTCTCTGTTTCTCCCCTGCTTTAAAAAGAAAAATAAAAAGGAAGGAAGGAAGGAAGGAAGGAAGGAAGGAAGGAAGGAAGAAAAGAAAAAGGAAAAGCATGTTCAAAGTGTTTAATGTGCATTGGAAAATGGCAAGCTCCAAACCATAGACTGTTTAGTCCATCTGGGCCCTTAAGAGGATTCTAGGGAATTTTAAAAGTGTGTCCGCGTTCCGCATTTCAATCCCCACATCCATCTTGTGAAAGAGACAAGCGTCAATACCCTCATCTCACAGAGAGAGCAGGAGGCTCAGAGAAGCTGTGACCCGTGCAAGGTCACACAGTTAAGGAAGGCATCTCCGCCCGAGCCAAGGCGATGCGAGTTTCCGGAGGAGGAAGCGCAGGCTGGGCCCCAGCTCTCCAACACCTGGGCCAGTGCTGCTGGCATCGGCTGGCAGAGAGCAGCCGTCTGCGGGAAGATCTCCAGACAGCGCCATCTCGCAGAGCTCTTCCTCCCTCACACGTGCTGTTTTTCTCATTATCCTTCCTCCTTTTGCTTCTCTTCCTTGTCTCTCACCGTAAATTACATCCCTTGTCTAAGGAATAATTAATTCCGCTTAAATAAAGATACCAGCAGCCTCGTTGCTGTGCTTACATAATTATGGACCATCACTGGGAGAGCTGGCCTCTGGACACACTGGAGCTGTACCCCGCTACTTACTGAGCTTTAAACAACGTGCCAGGCAGGTGCACGCCCTAGCTCATCGCCTCCTCACACGCTTCTGAGATAGGCTTCCACCTGCCCATTTTACAGATGGGGTAATGGAGGCTCAGAAAGGTCACTCATAGCTTATTCAAGGTCGTACAGCTCATAAGTGATGGAGCCAGACTTGAACTTAAGCCATCCTTAAAGCTAAAGTTCATGTTATTTAGCTCACGACTCCCGCTGAAGAGTAGCCAAGCCATAGCCACTGTCCACCTTCTCCATCTTTAGAACCTTCCCCATTAACAGTATGCTTCATTCAGCAAACTCAGGGGAGACCAGGCTTGGAGATACCTAATGATATTAAGAACCATGATTTCCCTTCATATATGGGCTGCTTACTTCAGGCATGATGCTTTGCCCCACGAATGAGGTGGATACTGTTAACCCTATTTTACAGATGGGATAACTGAGGCTCAGTCACTTGCCGCAGCACACAGCTTGCAAGCCGTGAGATGAGGTTTTGAACCCAGATCTGGCTGATGCCTTTAACCGCATTTCTTCCCTCTTAACAGCCAGGTTTACTACACTTCCAAAGATGGCACGAATTCTCTCTGCCTCCAGAGAAGCGCAGGAGAGGCCAGTCTGGTCAGTTTGGATCAAGAGACTCAAAACACCCTGAGTTCATGTCTCCTTGGTTCTGCCTGCTGGCTGGCTGCCTTTCCCTGCAGGAGAACTGCTCCGGACTTCAGGCCAGCTGCCAGAGGACAGCTAGTGTCTGCTGGAGCCCTGGGAACATATGTGACTTGCCTATTTGCAGGTACAGAGCAGACTGAAGCTCAGAATATTTAAAAACGGTTCCTTTTCTTTCAGCAAGACACGTATGCACTGCTCACCCTGCAAAGAGAGGGAGAAGAGCGGTGTGCTGTGATCCACACTGGGGGATCGGGGAACCTGCCATGAGGGTTGCCAATGCAGAAGAAGTGACTGGACGTGAGAGAGCGAGGGAACCAGTAAGGACCCTTTTGGTTACCAAGTGACCGAAAACCCAACCCCAATTGGTTTAAGCCAAGTGGATTTAGTGGTTTATAGGGCAAAAGCCCCCCGTGTCAGTGGAGTTTCCCCTGAGCCTATCAGAGGATCAAAAACTTCTCAGCTCTGCTCTCCTCCATGTTGGCCTCACTTTCTGGTCATGGAAAGATGGCGGTCACAGCTCTTCCCCTCTCAGGAAAAGGGAAAGGCTAGTCCCATAAAACTAAGAGAGTTTCACTGGCTCTAGCTGGCCTGACTCAGCTCAGCACGGACACAGGGAAACATGCTGTGTTGGTTGGCTGGGCCTGGGCATAGGCCACCTTTCGGTGAGGTCAACACCTGCCCAGACTTGAACTTAGAGCGGAGGAGGAGTGGTACCCTCCAAGCAGCATTAGGGAAAATCACAAGAAGCAGGAGGGATGGGTGTGGGGGGTTGCTTTGAATGTCACAGAGAATGGGAGAGACAAAGAGGGTTGCTGGGAGGAAGGAAGGGAGGGAGGAAGGAAGAAAAGAAAGGAAAGCAAGTCTCCTTGGGGTGAGCAAATTCACAATCAGATCCACAATTCTGTGGTTACAGAGATATGCCAAATAGCTTCCAGACAGATTATGCTCCAAAAAAATCATTTGTAAATCAGTTTTGAACTCAGCACATTTTTACCCATGTGGGGAGAAGGGAGGGGGCATATTTTATTGTCAACTCCCCCAACTTGCCTAACACTGTAAAATACAATCCATAATATAGTGGAAATGCTTGGCTATTTGCAATGAAAAATAGAAAGCAAAGCTTACAACAGTGGGTGATAAATAAAAAAGATTTTGGATCTGAAACCTTGTCATTATTTGCTGCGAGTGCTGATGCCTGAGAAAAAGGACACTAATTAATGAGCACGAGCTAGCAGATGGAGACTCCTGTAAGGATCTGAAGGGGGCTTCTCCACCTTCCAAGGACTCAGGAGGTTGGCAGCAGGGCTCCCTGTTAGGCTGAATTTCCCCTCACATGTTATGGTTTTCCTTTTTCTTGACGTAGATACATCAAGGAGAACATTTGTCTGACATCTTTTTTAACAGGGATATCTGGAAGATGCGGGTCTTCGCGATTACACCATGATTTGGGCCATTCAGGGCCCACGAGTGGAATCCAAAGGAGATGGTCCCATTACCTGTCCAGGTGGTGGTTCTGCAGCACCGGGGCAAGAGGTGGTAAGGCAGGGGGAGGAGATGCTGGGAGGGAGAAGACCTGGCTACAGGGGGAGGCTGGACCTGCAGAAGAATGACCCGGGCTTGTGGGAGGAAATACACAAGAGAGGTGCTAGTCTCAGCCCCAGGGGCGTTCAAATCCATGTGTCGCTAGCCCTCAGGCTTTCCCCTCTCTGACCATCTCGAAGTACAGGGACAGCACCCCAGCTGAGCCAATGCAGAGCATCATCCCACCCCTGCCCATTGGCCCGGGAAGGTGATTCTCTGCTGCTTCTGTTTCCCTGAGAACAAGATTCCCTCTCCTTTCCCATGTGCTCTCTCCACAGTGGCAACCATGTCACAGAATTTCTTTGCCTAAAATGCCAATCTGATCCCATCCTTTGCAACCCTCCAAAAACCTTTCAAGTTTTCCCGGGACCAACAGCAGCATTTCTTATAGCCTTCCATGTGTACCTTAGAGCCCTTATTCTTGGGTCAAATAAGTTTAAGAAACCCTCTATGGCATATACACTCTTAGAGAATCCGGACACATAATGACAAAGTAAAGGCTCCGAGGAATCTTTCAGTAGAGGACCTGTTTTGATTTTTTCTCCATCAATCCTTTGCCCATTCTGGCACAGACAACCTTCTTATGCATTGTCATTTAACAGACACATTTTGGAAATCATTGTCTTTTTTTTTTTTAAGATTTTATTTATTTATTTGACAGAGAGAGAGATCACAAATAGGCAGAGAGGGGGGGGGGGGGGGGGGGGGGGGGGAAGCAGGCTCCCCGCCAAGCAGAGAGCCTGATGTGGGGTTCCATCCCAGGACCCTGAGATCATGACCTGAGCCGAAGGCAGAGGCTTAACCCACTGAGTCACCCAGGTGCCCCTGGAAATCATTGCCTTAAAAGATAAAGCCC